TGAGCTGGTGGCTGATACTCACTAATGCAACCTACAGGTTGATGTCTTTTCCACTGGAAGGAATTCAGCTCACGGAATGGCCCTGACTCAGAATGCAAAGCTCAGTAAAAACAACACTGGAACAGAAAGAAACCTCTCCCCACGTACACGTCTCTAACCTTCTTCACTCAGTTCCCATTATTTGAACAACAATGTTGTACGAGAGCTGCTGGCCTCTATATGAACATGTGGGGGCCACACCTAATCAATGCTCCACTGGAGAGAAGCTGCATCTGGGATTCCAGCCCAGATGTCTGTCACTTCAGGACAAATTGCCACAAATGTCTTTCTAGGCTGATACTAATCTTTGCTCTCCCATTTTCCCTGACTGGGAAATGAAAGTTTCTGAAGTTTGAGATGGCCTATAACAAAAGAATGATAGAGGAAATGAGAATACACAGACACTAGAAAAAGCTGTAATTCTGCAAAAAGAAAAATGAGGTTCTGTTTCACAGGAATAGACCCCCCCAGATAATCAAAGCCAAGCAAAAATCCATTCTCTGCATAATGAGTCTGGAGGCAATCTCACCCTAAAGTTCCTCTTTCAGCTATCCAAGCCAATATGTCATTTAGAATAATGAAATTGTCACATGTTTAGCAAGAGGGCTTTGATTGTCCCTTCCTCTTCCACATTGTGGAAAATGAAAAAAGCACTGAAAGAGATCAAATGCTCTCCTGCCACCTTGCATGCCCGTTTGAGGGCAGGAAGACCAAAGTTCCTCCTGCAGCTGTATGCAGCTGCTTAGGAGCATTATGGAAATTCAGTGGCTAGGAAGAAGATATTTTCTATAAATCTGAGTGCAAGATTAGACATTGAGGGAACAGCCAGTATAATCTTTGTTAAACACAAACAGCTTCTGAGTATTGATCAGCAATCAATTCATTAGTCTTCAGGTCTTATCATTAGTTATTGCATGCAACAGGAGAACAGAGACCCAAGTTACTTACTCACTGAGTTGTAAAAAACTCCATGGAAAAAACAGAGTAGGACAGAGTCCATGATTGGAACCTCGTGCAGCAGAGAAGCAGATTTAGCAACAGGCAGGATCACACATGCAAGTAGGAATCTCAGAGAGGTATCTCACAGTGATACTAAAACATACATGCACCTTTAGAGTCATTTATTTACACATGACAATTCTGAATAATGACTATGAAAGGAATAACATATAGTTGACTTATTCAGCATGCACAGAAGATCTTGTGTACTGAATGCATCAGGGTCTCTTTGTGCAAACACACTGTGTGACTGTGCAATTAAAAACTTTAGCAGTGCCGACGCACAAGTGGCTTGTATAGGCTATCTTCATTCTAGCTGTAGGAAACACTCTTAACTGCAAAACAGTAACACATAGTGGGGGTTAACTATAACTGAAGGCTAAAAATCTATAGCTGAAATACTCACTAATCAATAACTAATATGACTCCATGAGTGATGTCCTCACAGAGAGAACAATCTGATGACACAGAAAAGGCCGTCTGTTTCAAATTTCAATTTCCACTATTATCTCAACTTGTGACTTCCAAAGCACCTGTCTGGACCATCCATTGATTGCAGGCAGTTTGATATCTAAATCAGAGCTTCCTATTGTAAGGACGTTGTTGATACCAGCTCTCTAGGCCAAATACAGCCACCCTTAAAATTCAAGATTGCTCTGGACACATTTCACATCTAGGTATTCTCACGATTCTCATTAAGCATCTAACATTTTTATACTACTCTCCCTCATCATCTATACTGATAGTCTCTGGTCCAAGATACCAGTGTACTGCAAATACTAATTCCTCAATAGCAGCTTTTGTGCTTTGCAGCTTGTATTTAAAAATGGCTGCTCCCTGCTTGATGATCATACTAGCGTAATTAGCATCTCAGGCAGTTAAATTTTCGTTAGTGAGTACAGGCTCAATCTGGCACTTGCAATCTTGCCCTTAGAGCCCAGGAGAGTTGCGGCATTGGTTTCGGAGACAAGACAGTGTCCCATTTCTTCTATGCAATTAAAAATAACCACCGAGTTTTAGATAATAACAGAGGTCAAAATACCCAAGCGCTATTGAAAATATTTAACCACACACAAATGGCACATATTTAAAAGGCCTTAGAGACTGGCATATTATGCAAACCAACCAAGCTCTAATGGTTTCCTTTGCAACTAAAACATGTTAAGCAGAAGTACAACCTAATTGTATGCAGGTCGTACATAAAAATGCAGATGGCTACAGGTAAACACACTAAGTTAATGCTGGTTGGCATTCACTCAGACCTTACCCCAGGATTCTCAAAGTACTTTGCAAATATTGATCAACCTGTTCTATAAAAGAGGAGTATCTCCAGCTTGTGCTTATTTTTACAGAGACTGAAGCAAGACAGAAGGTAAGGGCTGCAATCAGAAATGGGAAGGCAGGATCTAGGGCCCCAGTCCTTTAACTTCTAGATACCTCTCCTTCTCATTAAATAGAGACCCACATGGACAACAAACATGAACTGTAATTGAGAGTTCTCCAATTAAACAAATCCATTCAAAAAGTTATATGCATATTTTCAAGGCTGGAAAAGATAGTATTTTAGGATACTAAACAAGCAACTGCATGACATTTAGCTCTCTTGTTGAGCTCTGAGATCTTAAAGAACTCTAAATTCTGAAGTCTTGACTAGGTGCATAAGTGTTTTCTAAAGAAATGGCTTCATGATGCAAGGGCAAAAAAAAAGATTCACCATAGAAAGTTCACCAAAGTTCTGTAGATTTTTAGATATTACATTACTATGACATAGAAGGAAACTTGAGATTGGGGCTATGACAAATCTCTCTCTTCAGGGTGAATGAAGTACAGAAACAAAAAGAAATGCTAAAGAACAGTAGTGATCAGTAGGCACAGACTTGTACTACAGCCTCCAATCTAACAGACAGATAGTTTAACCCACACAAAATAGCTCTTTCTCTTCCTGAGTTTTCTATCTGGTGGGCTGGCTGATGTGATTGATAGGTAATGTGACTTCGTTACTTCTGCATCTGCTGTTCTGATAGACTAATGAGAGCGAGTTATTATTACTATTACTGTTGTCATTGCTGTTACCACTGGACATGGTATCAATTAGCATGGAAACTTCATTCAACACTGCATAATAAAAACAAAATCCCACTTTGGTTGGAAGACTTTCATCAAGACTCTCTCCCATATGGAATAAGCAAAAGTCTTCAGAGAACCTTCCAACAGTCCTCTTCCAGGACCATAAGGGGGTGGGAGATGAGTTAGCAACACTGTGAAACGGGTACTGTGGAAGTTTAGATATAACCTGAAGATGCATAAAAGATGGAAAGCGATCTTTTTTAAACGAAGAATAGGTCATGCCAGATAGCTTAGACAACTTGCGCAAAACGACAAGATTAGTGCACAAAGGGAATGCTGGTAGATCTGATTTTACGGAAACATTACTCATGGGCTAGTGGGTGGACAAAAGTTTTCTCAACAGGTTTTTACAGATCTGATCCTACACAGAAAGTTCAAATGGTTTCCTTTAGTTTCTACTTAGTGCTACTTTATAGACAGTGTTTTGTTTTAATTTATTTTCTAGACTTTAATGAGACTTTTGGTACTTTACTGCCTGGAAAATTATTACTGACACTGGAAATATGGTGCTTGGTTACGAATATTGCAATGAAGATATGAAGTTGCCAGACATATTGTAAACAGAGCATAATTACAGTATTTACAGTTGAACATCAAAATGGGAATAGATGCCAAGTGGCATTTCTCAGAAGTTAATATTGGGACTGATACCATCTAATATATTCCCTAATAATTTGGAAAATTAAGTAAATTGTATATCGATTGAATACGCAGTAGACACAAGAGGAAGATGAACTGCAACATAGCAGGTGGGTAGGTTGAAAGAAGCCCTGAAAGATCAGGAGATCTAAGAGTGAGAGAGAGACGGGTGCATTTAAGAGGGAAGCTATTTAATGTAGACAAATGTAGAATAATAAGCTCACAGAAAATTAACACCCATCTCAAGTAACCACATGGGAAAATGCCAATTTTCATTAAAAAAAAAAATAAATTCCAAGAGATTTCACAGTTTATTCACACTGAAAATTCACATTGGGGTGTATGCATCAGGTTTGACAACTTGTTTGCCACATTCCAGCCTGATGTGATTTTAAAAGGAAGAATAACAGATTCCCTTAAAAACCTGCCTTTTAAAATAAATTTTAACTTACTTTAAATGTATACTCATAAAAGACCCGACTTATAGTCCTACTAGTGGAAATAACATAGTAATGTAACATAAGAAAGAATCACAGAAGCAGCACATACAAGGTCCAAGGTGGAGGTCAGGAAGCCAAAGCCCATCTGTCTCCGATACTGTCAGGGTTCACTCTATGCAGTAAAGCAAAATCCATGAAATATGAGGTTGCCACTGATTTGTTGACTTTAGTTTATAAGCTCAACTATAACTTGAAGAAAGCTATTACTGTATAAAAGAGAGTAAGATTTTGAGGTATATTTAAAAAGCACCTAAACAAATACTGAAACAAGCTTACTGCGCTAAATGTCTACTGTATACACTAATGAACCTTAAGTAAGGTTCTTCTGTAGGACAGAAATTGTCAAAAGAATGTACACTAGCAATAAAATTAACCTGTAATTATATAAACGAAGTGCAGAAAAAATATTTTATGACACAAATCCTCCCTACATGGAGTATGTTAGAAAACTGCTCCTGGCTGAGAGCTGAAAAAGCACACTGTCTTTTCCCCATCATTATTTGGTTAACAATACCATAGTACAAGTACATCATATTGTCACAGGAATGATTCATTACAAGAAAAAATAAAACTTTATCAAACTGAATATTACTCTTCTTTTTAACACAGCAATCCAAATATAGCTGATGCATACGAAATGGCTGATGTGACAGCAATCAACAATATTTTTTTACGTATGCTTAAAAACCTGCTTACCAAGGGGAGCCATATATTCTGAATCCCCTCACCGTCACTTCAGAGTCTTGAAGATAGATGCAGTTTGTTAGAAGAGATTGTACATTTTCATAGCTCTCTGGCTTCAGCTTAGAAACAGAGGGGAAATAGTAAAAGTCCTGCTTGATTAAGTCAGCCATGAATTCCTGGTCAAAGGTCAATTCATGATTTCCTGCTATCACAATCTTGTATTCATAGGGCAGGCTACCTAAAACAGTGAAAAACAAACAGATTACTTGTTTTATGGAAAACCTGATAAAACAAATCACACAGACTCACTATTATTGATTCTTATAATATGCTAACATATTTGAAACAATCAAGCACAACCCTACTGTGTGTTACTGTAATTCCTGGTGATTTAGGGTAAATGACATTACTGTCTTTTTCAGGGCACACTATGATTTAGCATGCTTAGCATTAATGTGTTGAAACTACTTTCAACTCATCAACCTTAAAAACCGGTCTGCAGATTTCTGCTCTACTATTTACTTCTAGTTAATTGCCATTTGTGCTGCAAGTATCACTTACTGTGACAGTGATGATAACTCCTTGACAGAAATTAGGGTTCGAAGACTGGCCGGAATGCTTCATAAAATAATGTCAGCTTTCTTCTCCCAGAGCCGTGGTCTTCATCAGCTTGTGCTGAGGAGGTCTTACAGACTCACAGCCTGGGTCAGCCAAAGAGGTTTGCTGCCCTCTTTGCCCTGACATTCATATCAAGCCTTCAAGCAAGACAGGAATTGGGTTTAGCTGTCAAAACTCCACATCCCACAGGGAAGTCTCGCAGTTTGCCTCTATCCCATGCTTTTTCCTGCTCCATTTTCTCAGTGACTTCCTTAGATCCATGAACTATAATTTAAAGTGACTCATGTTCAAGAATATTTTACAACCTGTATTTAGCGAAAAACCTTACAAGAACCACCTGCTGAAGGAAGAATATATGCCCACACACGTGGGTTCTTCCTGAGAGCAGTGCTGCAACAGAAACTTCCCCCCTGACTTCTCGCTTGGTTATCAACCACATTCTGCCCTTGAGAGCAGGCATCACCTGTCTCAAAAAGCTCAACAGAAACCTTCTAAGTATATCTGAGAGGAAACATAGACAGAAACTGTCTTAACATTCATTAGCTTTGCTTCTGCACTATTAATTTGCATCAGGATGAAGACAGTCAGAACAAGAGACTGGGAGCAGAAAGAAGTATTTTATTGAAAATGAGACCCACTTTGCACAGCAGCTATCTTGTCAATTTTTATTTTAAAAATGTATTGTTGACAACATAGAAACCTTTACCGATGACCCCAAGCCTAACCTAAAAGTAGGATGTTTAGAGAGTGTAAAACACCAGTCAATGTGCAGTGGCAGAAGTTGGCATGAGTAGGACTTCAAAATAAAATGCAACAGCGTGATTCAGTTACGGACACAGGAGACGCAGAATTGTGCTAGCCTAGAGGAGGTGCCACATGGCTGAACTCTTTATCTGCCAAATGAAAAGATCTGTGTAACTCTGAAGTATAAATTTCAGACACATGTAACACCTGTACTAGGAAAATCGATCATGCACATTCCAGTCTTTTCTGGGGACTCAATACATGTGTGCCTTTAGAATATTCAATAGAAACTCTCTTCAGATATTTGTATTTACATGTTGAATGCTGGAGATTCAGTCATTTACCTGAAAGACAACTTGAGATGTAAATTTTGTCATTTTTGCTTCTGAAATGCTTAGCATTTTGCAGATGCGTACTCCATCTATACAAGCCTTCTGGGTGTGTGCACACATACACACACAAGTTAAAAATGTTACTTATACACTACAATATGTATGGGAATCTTCAGGCCTTAAAGCATTCTTGGGAAATAGGAATATAAAGAAATCCTGTATGCCGCAATATTGTTAACAATTCCATCTCTACTCTGTTTTGAAAATCTTTTCCAGCTCATCTGATCCATCCATCTAGCAGCCAAGAACCTGTGCGAGCTGGTTATAGTTGTTGCTTCCACTAATGTATTTATGTCATGTTGCTGTCTGTGGGTGTTACTTAGGCAAATTAGCAAATTACTCTAAATGTACAGTTACATTTATTATAGTGGCGGCCAGAAGCGCTGCTGTAGTTACAGGTCTGTCAGCTTTTCAATTAACAACTGTGTTTTTGATGAGTTTGCAGCTCAGTTTTTTTCCTCTCATTCCATACCAGGCAGCAACTTGCTAAACCTATTTCCGTTTCTTTGTCTCCACAAGTCCTCTTTACCCTTTAAATCTTAATTTTTTGTCTAACATGAACATTTTTTTGCTGCTTGCACACAAATGTAACACTTTTTTGTTTAAACTTTGTTCCTCAGAAGACACGAACGCGCATCTCTTTTTACTCTAAGTGCTCTGAAAGTGCAAAGTCAACCCTAGGTACGGATCTCTGAAACCTTGTTCTTGGCTGAGCATCACTGGCATGGACTATATGTGTTAAGACCCCAGTTGGGCAGCTGCAGATGAAGACCCTCAGCTATCAGATCACAATATTGATTACACATTTCCCACCTTCCCTACTTCGACGGTGATCCATACTTACCATTTCTCATTCTAATCCATGTGCAGAGGTCAACAATTAATGCTAAACATCTCTTTGCGCTAAAGGCATGCTCTTGCTGACCTCAGAGGGACCAATACCACCTTACTGCGGCAGGACCACAGTCCAACATGGTGGGTCAGCACAATCCTACGAAATGTTGAATGTTTCAAGTGCCTTTTATAGCATTAAGATGCACCAAACATCAGCAATATCTGATCAATATTTACCTGAAAACTACCTCAATGCAGCAACTCTTTCCTACTTCTGACCTACTTTTCCTCTTTTTATATGTTGTTATTATTTGAATTATATCCTTTCAACATGGTTTCCACCCATTGTTTCACATCCCTAGGCACAGACTATGGCACAATTTGTAGCCTTGTCTTCGGCTAGGACCAAGACCGCCCCAGAAGCACATAGTCTAATAGCTGTAGTATGGCTGTGTTTCTACAGGTGTCCATAGCTCTAGAACCACCACTTTCCCATCTATTACTTTTTGTGCCACCAGCTCCTGATCAGCTATAATTCAAACGCTTCCATGTTGACCAATTTATTCCCACAACTGCTAATGACAAAGTGAGTAGAAAAGACATCAGGCACATTTCCTGCCCCTTGTTAAACAAAATAAGCTGAGAATGTTGAATTCCCACTCATGGAAGTTTCCATGGCTTCTTATAACAATTGCCTTTTCCTAACAAAAGATTCCTACCAAAGACAGCAGTGGCTACAATTGTACACATTGCACTGGGCTTCTTTGGTCTTCCATTTATATGTTCCAAGAAAACAAGCCTTAGAGTAAAGGCACTAGCAAACATTTTCATTTGCTAAGCTGTTTTCCTTGGTTTTTTTTCTCTTTTTCTTCTTTTTCAAAATAGCCTCATGCTAAACATTTAGTTCTCTGACTGCTCATCCATGCGGGCACCAATGGTATCACTAGAGCAACCCTGAGCATATCAAGGGTGACTGACAGCCCTCAGATAACAGTGGGAGGGATGCAGCCCTGGTGGCACCTCCTCAGTCCTCCCAGTGAGGGAGCTCATTGCTCAGGTGGGAGTGGATGCATCCTACAACACTGCGTGGCTAGAGCTGCACGCAGGGCTCCATCTCCTATGACCACAGGACCATTTTTGAAGAACAAGGACTGCTGCACAGGAATGGTATTCCCCTGGAAAAGTGGGGCAGGGTGTCTTTGCCAACAGGTTCACTAATACAGCAGGAAGATTTTTAAATTAAGTGTGCTGGGGAAGGGCTGTCATGCTGTGAAAAGAAGTGATGGCATGGAGGCAGTGAGGAAGCACCCAGGGAACGACAGGATGGCAAAGGCTCTTGCATTACCCTTGTAAAAGCAGCCTCACTGAGGGTCCTCCCAGGCACCTGTACACGCGCACACAGAGCGTTGGTTACAACCAGGAGGAAGAAGGCCATGAACAGTGGACAGCTGTGACATCTCTGAGATTATGGAGACATGGCGGGATAGTTCAACTGACTGGAGTGCTGCAGTGGATGGACATGGGCCTATCACCTGTCTATCAAAGGTCTATCACCCTCGAAAAGTCAGGCGGATTGGAGAAGTTCCCAGTGGCTGGAGGAAAGCAAATGTCCCACCCATACTGTAGAAAGACAAGAAGGGGAATCTGGGGAACTGCAGGCCATCAAGCCTCACATCAGGCCTGGGAAAATTATAGAACAAATCTCCCATAAAGTAATTTTCCAAGCACATGTAGGTCAGAAAAGTTACTGGGAACAGCCATCATTGATTTAACATGAGTAAATCATACATGACTAATGCTATTGCCTTCTATAAGGAGATGACTGGCTCTGTGGATAAGGGAGAGCACTGGATGTTGTTTGCTTTGATTTTAGCCTTTGACACAATTTCTCATAGCATCCTTATATCCAAATTGGTGAGATAAGGTGGGTCAAGCATCGCCTGGAATACTGGGCTCGAAGGGCTAGAGTCAATGGTACAAAGTCCATCTGGCAGTCAGTCACTAGAAGTATCCCTCAGCTAGTGATGCTGGGGCCAATACTGCTTCCCTTCTTTACTAACAGCCTGGATGATCTGATGGAGTGCAATTTCAGTAAGTTTGCAAACACTACCAAATTAAGGATGGGGATCTGCCAACCTACTCTGGAGGGAATGTCTGCTATTCTGAGGAACCTCCAAAGGCTGGAAAAATGGGTTGACAGGAATCTCATCAAATTCATCAAAAGCAAATGCCCAAAGTAGCTGTGAAATCTCCATCCTTGGAGATATTCAGAATTCAACTGGACAGGGTTCTGAGCAGCCTGCTCTAACTAGACCTGCTTTGAACAGGAGGTTGGACTCAATGCCCTACAGAGGTCTCCTCCATCCTGAGTGATTCTAGGTTTCTCTCAGTAGACACTGGAAAAGAAAAAGAGCCTGCAATGCTGAAAGAAATTAAAAACTCACTGCGTGTTGTGAAACTAATGGAACAAATCTATGGTAGACAAGCAATTTAACAGGATGAGAGATTATGTTCCATTAACTTTGGTATAAGTTTCTCATACTACCCATTTAGCAGATGAGTGGGACTAAATACCCAACTGATAGCCAATTAACATTTGATGCTAGCATATGGCTTTGCTGGTGGGCAGGTAGCAAACTTGGTATTAATA